GAAGAACCAAAAAATACTGAACCAGAAACATTAGGACCATGGCAAATATACTCATTAAATCAAATTGAAGAACAACAGCTACCGCTAATACCAATGATCCAACACAACTTATGTTATATATTTCACCGAATAAGGGATTACCCAGTACTACAAATGATCAATAGATTAAACTTTACAAAAGAAATCAAAGTAATGACAAATCAAAGAAAAATATACCCTGGGATATTTGAAGAAATAGATTCAGAATTCGAACAAGAAGAATTGATGGAAATGACCGAACAAGAACTAGAAGACCTAATGAAAGATAAAAAAAAAGTCACCTCAAAACAAATCCGAAGAGCAACAAAACTAAAACAAAAAGTACAAAACAAGATAGCACCGCTAAAACTAATAGAAAAACGAGTGCTCAATTTAGAACAAATTTTAAAAGGATACAAATATCTATCCATATTTGAAAAGAAGGACCGACCAGAAGCCGCTACAATAATGGAACGATACCCCAAAATAATCGACCTAAAAAAGTTACCAGATAAAATACTGAATAAAGTCAAACAACAATTGTATTATTATACATTATTCTACAATGGAAACGGCGTAGCATATAGAATTAAAATACGACAAACACAAGATTATCAAGTTACACTTGTAACGATGAATTATTTGTTGAACGAATATGAAAATCTGACTTTAATTTAGAAATTACCGGCAACACAAATCCGGCCACCTAATTGTTAACCATAGCCGATTTTGTCCGTCTGTTCACCCACGTGACCAATCACGACACATTTTTTTAATTCGCTCCGGATTTACAACAGCTCCTGTTTTCTTAGTATAAAGTCTGGAGCTAAATCTTTGTAAAAGCCACTGAATTTACAAATTTGAATATATGTTAAAATAATAAAGCTGGTAATATTTTTTTAGCTTTAGCTTTAGTTATCACAAAAAAAACATAATTTAATAGGGTGATTCAGAATTAACTTATTTCTAAAATAAAATAGGGGTTTAAAAATTCACATTTCTGTTTTGAGATTCCGAAAACAGAAAACAAAATAGATGTTTTTTCTCATAAAAAAATAGAATTTATAAATCACTTATTTCAAAACAAATACGTCACTAATGATTTAATTCGAAATCAGAAACCTGAGCATTAATTATAAATCACCCTATTAATCGAATTCTATTTTTTTGTGTATAATTCAGCTCAATATTATCTATTTTTCGAACCAATTTTAATAAATAATACAGTAATAGGGGTTTTGGAATTAATTTGGCGTACAATTTTCAGATAAAACAAGTGACGTTTTTTACAGTTGTTTGCAGATCACATGTCATGGGAATTCGTGATATTTCCCAGATTTGCAGAGTTTTCAAGACCCGCTCTAATAGGAAGTTTAATTTTTACTAATCTAAATTTCCAGATTCTTCGATTTGCCACATAAGTACATGGAAATCGTTGTTCACACATTTTTGAAAACGGCTGTAAACAAAAAATATGATCTTTTAACTCACTTATTTTCAAATAAGTTAATTCTGAAATCCCCTAATGATAAATTTTGAGAATTATATGTTAATATATACTGTATATTTAAATTTAATTTACAGTAATTTATAAAGTTTTTACCTATTAATTAAATATTTTTAAGCTTATTATATTATAATTATTTTCGTTTATTTATTTATTAAACTTTTTTGTCAAATATCACAATACGTATTTACATAATATAAAACAGTTAAATATACAGCCATTGTCACGCCCAGGATTGAGAAGAATGAGGCTAATTCATGATAAGTTAGCTTTGGCTTAGCATAAGTTACAAGGAATGGATGGTTATTATGGATTCGGACTTAATGATATGGGCTTGGCTCAATATCCCGAAGCTCATAATCCTAACGGTAAATAATTCTGACAAAAAAATCCTGAAATACCAGAATCCTGTAATAGTACGAAGCTCGACAAGTTTCAAATCTTGATAAAAAGGTAAAAAAAAAAAAATTTCAAAATTATGCTGCCTGAATTTCTATGTCTAAGAGGTATGTTCAAATAGGTTAGATAGTGAGAAGATAGATCTGGCGTGTTTTTAATATAGATTAGAAGTTTTTAAAAAAATTTTTTTTTCATAGTTTAGCATTGATTGGTCAATATGTAATTCTGGTGATCTAAATTTACTTTAATACTGTGACCCATGGAGAAATTTTGGAGTTTCTAGATTATCTATACCTATCGAAAAGAATCACGTTACACGACAATTGTGTATTTGTTTGGACTATATGCTGGCAATAATTTAGGCCGGGATGATATATTATTGAAAAGTTACAAAAAACATGAATAACAAAGTAAGCAGTCGCTGAGTTGGCCGTAACGGCAATGACCTCCCGCGAAAATGATTGCACTGGGGTCACCGTGGAGCACCCGGTGGTTTCCCGCTCGCCGTAGCGAGCCGGCTGAGCGAAGAGATAATAGAATCACGCGTTCCTCATCTAGGAGTGGTAGGGTGGGTCGCGAGAATTTGATTCGATCCTTGGCCGTTCAGCTTATGTCGTTCTTTAGTTCTTATACTTATTGATTTCTTCCAATGTCCATTCCTGTTTCCAGTTTGCTTGCACCAACACATATGTCATTGGCATGTGTTGTTTATGTCTGCGTGTGAACTTCCCACGCTGTTTCTTCACGCGCGGCCATTCCGAGGCTGGAGAGCAAACCTAGGATCGCCCATAAAAAAAATACCGCTGATATCATAATGACGACATTGATTTTTTGCATGATACTTTTTTTCGATTAAACCATGGATCGCTCATAAAAAAATATCGCTTATATCACAATGATGACATTGATTTTTTGCATGATACTTTTTTCCAATTATAATTTGTAAGGTAAAAAAAATAAAAAATAAAAATAATATTTTGATATTACTATAGTAATAAAAATATCTGAAGAAACAATTAATTGTGACCGTTGCCATACTTGGCAAGCATATGAAAATTTTTTGAATAAGAAAAACAAACAAGTGACAACATGTCAAAATTGCCGCCAAAAACATAGTAATAAACGAAAAGAACTTTCTATTCAAGTTCGAGAACAAGTTCAGAATCAGGAATATAGTTTAAGATATCAATCGGCTATTACTTTTGAAGATATCAGTGAATTTATTTATAATTCTTTACTATCTTTAGAAGGAACGAATGAACAATATGAAAGTGATTCTTCTGAGCTTTATATTAACTTTGATATTCGATTATCTCAAGATAGCAATGAATTAGCATTAGATAATATAAATGAATATTATAAGACATTAGGTTATAAAGGCGATGGATACTGTTGGATTTATAAAACTCAAAATTTAAAAAAAGATTCATTAACTTTAATCTACTGGTGTAATTGTCGAATTGAGCTTGGAAAGCATAAAACAAAAATTTTAGATATTAATAAACAAAGAGATACTTCTACTCGATTAGAACGATATGAGTGTAATGGTGCAATAAATATTGAAATATCAACAAAAAACAATTTAGATTTAATTAAAGTTAATTACTTACATTCTATTTTGTATAAACATCCAATACATATTCAAACTACTCAGATAGTTTGTGAAATTATTTGTCAAAATATAGACCATTCAGTTTCTGAACTTTGGAGACAAATTCAAGAAAGAAAATTAGATGGTTATGATAATTTAAGCCATCAACAAGTTTATTATTGGTGGTCAGTAGAATCACGAAAAATTTATCAACGTAGTTCAAATTCTGTAGAATCAGCACGGTTATTATTAAATGAGCTTGAACAAGAAATTATTATTAATATAGTAACACCAACTAGTGCTCTTGGTTTTACAACTGCTCTTTTTAAAATACTTCCATGTAACAAACTTGATGCTATTGTGATTGATTCAACGCATAATACAAATAATAGTGAATGGGAATTATATGCAATAATGGGAGTAATAGATGGAACTAGATTTCCTATAAGCTATCTTTTAATTGGATCAGGGAAAAACTAAAATATTACTGAAATTCTCATAAACTGGATGGTTGCATTAAAATCCCGTCAATTAATTAATTTTCCATTTATCTTTATTGATAAAGCTTTTAGTGAAATAAATGCTACCTAATCAGTTTGGCCCGAATCTCATGTACAATTATGTGCATAGCATGTTCAATGAGCTATAAAGCAAAGATTAACATCAACAAGTAAAATTCGAAACTATGTTTATGATCCTGTTATTGCACACCAAGAATACTCTGGAATTAATTCAAATTGGAAACCTCATGCTAATGAAAGTTCAAAAAATATAATTTGTCCTTTAGAACTTCGACAACATATATTAAATCTTATTAATAAACACTATAATCGGCATATGTTGTTGCCAAAATATAATGGAGAATTTTCTATAAGTTCAAAAATTATTTGGGAAGAATCAGTATTAGAAATGAATCAAATATTGCTATGAGCATAAATTAGATAATCTTTGGCTATATTTGTGGAAAGAGTGGTATTCTTATAACAAATGGGTTTTATGGGCAAAAGCAGCAGATAGCAAAATTAGTTATATCAAAACCACTATGATTATAGAGTTGCATTGGCGACATGTAAGTAAAACTCTATATTTGCATAAATTTCATAAACCACATATTGACCATTTATGCTATATTCTTGTTAAAAAAGTTGTAAATCAACAACTTTATCGAATTCGCTTATTACAGCAAGGACATTACACAGTACCTTGGAGAAAAGAATTTAAAAAAGAATAGCAAAAACTTGAAAAGGAAACTATAAATAATAATAAGTACCAAATGAATATTAATAATTGGACTTGTACATGTTTTCCTTATTTTCAAAGTCGGTTTTTTTTATGCAAACATTTGGGTTGTAGTACTGACAAAGCTGATGACATCTTTTTTAAAAAGGTATTATTTATTATTAAAAATTTAATTATAATAAATTACTCATTAAACTTTCTTATAAGGTGCGACAAAATAATAATTATCCAATTATTGGAATACATGAAGATGAAAACTATAAACTTTTTAATTTTCAAAATGATAATAATGCTATTATGAATATTCCTATTTATTATAATTCAATTGAAATCAATGAAGATAATCTTGAAAGTGACAATGAAGAAGAAGATCTAAATAATTTTTAAATCATTTATGCAATGTTCTTGACGAGGTATATACAGTATATAAATAAAAATACATTTTATTAACATATATCAATTTATTTATATAAAAATATTTATTAGAGCAAAGTATTACTTAATAAATCTCGAAATAAACCTAATGGCAACCGTTGGCTAAAATCAGTTCAGTCAAACTTCAAGGCATTAGAAAGCATGGTAGAAGATATTAAAAAACTTGAAAATCGCAAAACAATGCCTCGAACTTGGAAAGATTTAAACCGCAATACAAAGTATTGGAATTCATAATTTTTTTTAATTAAACTGAACATCGAAGTAGTTTAATTAAATGTAAAAAAGTATATTTTATTTTCAAATAAATTGTTGCTTGATATAAAAATAAATTATCAAATAAAGTTTTTAATATTCACAAAAAAAAAGTCTTCGGAAAAAACATTATCGGAAATAATCTGAAAATAAATTTAATCTCACCGAAAAAAATATTATCGGAAGATAGTCTGAAAATAAATTTAATGTCAGTAATGATGTCAGCGACATTTTTTTTATGGGCGATGCTAGAGCTGTTGAGGCTGGAGGCTGAGGCGTCGTGTGGCTGTTTCTCTTTACGATCACATAATCTACCAATACTTCGCATAACGATACGTATTTTAATTTCCTCGTGATTTACATGACATCATGATCTACAGAAGTTATTGTACACCTTTTTGCAAACCTGTTCTACTGTACCCTAAAATCCCAAAACCCATCTTCCCGAAAGAACATAATATCGACTAATTAGCCAGCATTATAACTAATGCTGTCGGTATTATGTCTTTTTCGAAAATCTGCCTTTTGGGATTTCAAGATAGAACCATCCTATAAAAAAAGTCGATCCGTGTTTTGCATTCCATTTTTTCCCGTAAATGTTGCATATTCACGAATTTATAATCTTAAATTATGGAGATTTATTCGCCTTGTCTAGATTTTGTCGGTCATGTTGCAGGTTCATGGGAATTTCACAAAAAATATGGAAATATTCGGATAAAATTTCCATAATTTAACAAATGTTTGGAATGGCCCTCTATAGGTATAAAAATAGGACAAAATCCGTACACTTTTTTGAAGTTAAAGCATACGGATTTTGTCCTGTTTTTATACCTATAGTGGGCCTATTCCGAACATTTGTTTGAATAATACTGACACCAATTAAACAAAAATCAGACAATCTTTTTATAGGAACGTGTAATCGTACGTACGCGTGAACCTTTTATTCTAAAGATAGAACATTTATTGCTACAGTACCGAATTTGATCTTATGTCATACACTGTACGTATGTGAAATGTAATCATGCATATAGACGTAAAGGTAAAAACCTTTTATTCGACACCTACATTTTTTTTTATACCCAATCTTTCATAAGGAATGATCGTACTTTTTTTATGCAAAAAAAAAAATTTTATTGCATTTAAAAGCATGCCCAAACCCCACAGATATAATTATTTTTGTGACCAGGTTAATATGCAGAGTTTGTTTTAGGATATTTTATTACATAAACAAACTAAATATTTTAGGATACTGTATCTTATCAACTAAATTGAATAAATTTAAATAATTTCAACGAAAAATCTTTCTTGCATTAAAGTGTCAACCAAAAAACAGTTATCAGATGAAATTATTCAATTTACTGGCAAATTTGGCGAATTAAGTTTTGAAGATTATCAAAGACCAGCAGAAAAAGGAGAATCCAATGGAATAATCATGCTTGGTTATCGCTATGAACACAGAATTGATGTTGAAATAGATGAGCATAAGGCATACAATTATTATGAAGAGTCTGCAAAAAAGAATAATTCTTATGTAATGTTTCAACTTGGCCATTGCTATCATCAAGGAATTTGGGTTAAAAATGATGAACACCTGGCATTTATTTGGTATCAAAAATCGGCCGATAAGGGATTCTAACGGAATGTATCAAGTCGGTAATTGCGATTTAGGAATCGGTGTTGAAATAAGGCATTTGATACTACAAAAATTCAGAAAAGGTAGGTAATTCGAAAGGATTATCCAAAATTGTCATTTTATCTGATGAAATGGGACGTGCCGATGGAATGCTTCAAATCGGTGATTGTTATCTTCAAGGAATTGGCGTTGAAGAGGATGAATACCAGGCATTTATTTGGTATAAAAAATCAGCAGAAAAAGAAAATTCTTATGGAATATTCATGCTTGGTTATTGTTACGAATATGGGATTGGAGCTGATAATTCTGATGGAAGCTAATTCATACTTAACCACATACTTGGTGACTAGAATAGCAAGCAAGCTCTATGAAGAATTATTATAATAGAAACCAAGCAATTTAACACTCTTTTCAATTTAGTAGAATCGATAAATTTTGCAGATTTTTTTGTCTGTGAGTCCTATGAATTCGTGAGTCATATGCCTGCATATAATAATTATTTGTAATTGTTAGTTGTTTATTATCATAACATAGTAGACAGTTAACAATTAATTGCATCAGTATATATATATATGAAGCTCACGGATTCACGGATTCATGTAACTCATGGACAAAAAAAAAACTGCAAAATTCATCGATCCAACTAAATCGAAAAGAGCAATAATTGTACAGAAATAAAAATAATTCCAATGCAAACTAACTTAACCATATATACCATCATTATCAAAATAGTAAGCTCTGTAACAGAATAGTTTTTTTTAGAAACTCATAATAGAAATCAATAATTCCAATCCAATCCAATACAGAATTACCTATATAGAATTCGTGATAATTTCAATGAAAACTAGCTTGACCTAAATAACGTAGAAATCATAATTTTAGGATAAACCAAATATTAAGGTTATCTAAATAGTGAATAAGCTCTGTAACAGAATCTTTACAGTAAAAATCATAATAATTCTGATGCATTCTGATTCAAACCAAATCAATTATAGATAAACCATGATAGTTCTAATGCAAAAACTAACTTTATTTTAAGTACAATACTGCCTTAACTTTAACCATATATATTATGGTTGCTGAAATAGAAATAAGCTTTGTAATTGGATTTTTTACAGTAAAGATTATAATAATTTTAATATGAACTAACATAATTTTAATCACATAGAAATCACGATAATTCCAATGTGAACTAATTCAATTTTAACTATATATTATAATTATCAGGATAACAAGTAAGTTCTGCATAATTTTTTCCAATAATATGAATCATAATATTTTCAATACAAGCTAATACAACCTTAAACACTGTATATACTGCGTTAGCAAATAAATTCTGTGGCAGGATTTTTTACTATAACCCATGGTAGAAATCACTCGGCTTTAACCACTTGATGCAGTCATTAAAATACAAGTAAGATATTTACCACAATTAATGATGAAAAACCTGATAATTTCAATATAAACTAATTCAACCTTAATATTAATAACTGTGTACTATATTAGTAAATTCTGTAACCGAATACTTTACAATAACTAATGGTAGAAATTACGATAATTCTAACCATTATATACCACTTGGAATAGCGAGTAAGTTTTTACAAAAATATTTACAGTAAACATGAAAGAATTGCGTTAATTCTGATATAAACTAACTAGATCTTAACATATTACATGTGCTAGTAAGATGTTGATTAAGTTTTGGAAGAAGATTTTTGCAAAAACTCATGATTGAAATCATGATAATTTGAGTGCAACTAACTCAATCACATATATATCACCAGATGGGGATTAAATTATATAGATCTAAATATATCCTATTGGTATTTTTATTTCTGGCTTAATGCTACAACGTTGTACAACTACTTTACAGAAACCTATATTTTTTGCTAAATATGTTTACAATATATTTATTATATATTAACAATATTATTATTATATGATTTAAAATATATATAATAAATATACTTTGAATACATATTAATCATATAATAATTGTATTTTTGTTCTTTCTGCTAACTCTCTTGTA